AGGAAGTCCAGTGGCCTCCTCAAAAAAGCCCCTTTGGGATTAAGGGTTAGATTGATCTGAGGCAGGTTGGCTGGTCCAACATCACCTAGGGAGCTCTTGTGGCTGGTAGGGGTGGGCTTGGGTCAACTGTGACCTGGATGACGGAGAATCTCTACAGACATTTAGCTATGCAATTTGGGATGAAACCCCTTGGAATGGTGTGGGAGTAGGAACTGATTTCTAGAGGGGGAAAATGCAGACTACAGGAACCATTTGCACCACTCAGGTGACCCTGAGGACAGAGATAAACCTCTAAGTGGCCTCAGCGACCTTCTAAAAGGATGCAAATGACCAGCTGCCTGCAAGGAGTATAATCCTTTCCTTCCCCAGTCAGAGCGGAAGAAGCTTCTTGGATGAGAAGCAAAACGTCTTCAAAAGAAATAGCCAGAAAGTCCAGTTGCCTCCTGAAAAAAGCCCCTTTGGGATTAAGGGTTAGATTGATCTGAGGCAGGTTGGCTGGTCCAACATCACCTAGGGAGCTCTTGTGGCTGGTAGGGGGGGGCTTGGGTCAACTGTGACCTGGATGACGGAGAATCTCTACAGACATTTAGCTACGCAATTTGGGATGAAAACCCTTGGAATGGTGGGGGAGTAAGAACGGATTTCCAGAGGGAAAATTGCAGACTACAGGAACCATTTGCACTACTCGGGTGACTCTGAGGACAGAGATAAACCTCCAAGTGGCCTCAGCGACCTTCTAAAAGGATGCAAATGACCAGCTGCCTGCAAGGAGTATCAGTCATTCCATTCCCCGCCATCCAGTCCGAGCGGAAGAAGCTTCTTGGATGAGAAGCGAAACGCCTTCACAGAAGAAAAACCAAGAAAGTCCAGTTGCCTCCTGAAAAAAAACCCCTTTGGGATTAAGGATTAGATTGAGTTGAGAGTGGTTGGCTGGTCCCACATCACCTCGGGAGCTCTTGTGGCTGGGGGTGGGTGGGCTTGAACCCAGATTCTTCAGTCCTAGTCTTTCCCCAATAGTCCCTCGGTCTCCCTCCTGTGCGTATTCGTTGCCTACTTTGAGTTCCTCCTGGCTTCCTTCCACTTAATTTCCTTTCTCTTCCCCTTCGATGCCTAGCATTGACCTGGTGACGCTGCTTCAGAATCCTGGCGCCCCGAACCAAGACCCAGAGGCCGCCTCCTTCGATGCCACTCAGCAGCAAGGCTTCGGCCAGGCGCTCGTCTTCACCAATTCCCAGCACAACCCTCCGACGGCCTCGGGAACAAGCAACCCAAGCACTGTGAACACTTACTCGGCACAAAGCATGGTAACGTCCCCTCCTTTGGCTGACTCGGAGCTCCGCGGTCCAAGATCTTGCGGCCAATCCGGGGAAAGGAAACGGGACCGCGATGGGAACGCTTCTTTGTCTTTCCGCAAAGGATAATTGTGGGGTCCCTGCTGCGCTCTGAGCTGGGTGGTTCCTTTGCAGACGTCCTATTACCCAACTAAGTAACGTCATCGGGGTTAGAAGGGAGCAGGGTTTGTAGAGAGGAGGAGGATTGTGGAGTCCCTGGTGCTGTCTGAGCTGGGTGGTTCCCTTGCAACCTAAATCCCACACATGTGCAAAGGAAGTTTCTTGCCCGCCGCTTCAGCGGCCCAATTCCCAATGGGCTGTGACCCGATAGCAGTCCACGGCCTGGAGGTTGGGGACCCCTGCCCTACTTGGTTAATGAAACATTTGGAAGAAAACCATCAAGCTCCCCGAGTACCAAGGACTCCACAGTGCTCCTTCTCCTCCTCCTCCTCTTCTTCCTCCTTTCTGCAACCCCTACTCCCTTCTAGCACTGAAGATGTTACCTACTTGGGTCATGAGATGTCTGCAAGAAAGCAGCCAGCTCAGAGAGCCCCTCCTCCTCATCTTACGTCTTCTTCCTCCTCCTCCTCTCCCCTCCCCCTCCTCTTCCCTCCCCTCCTCTTCCTCCTCTTCTTCTCCTCCTCCTCCTCCCTGCAAACTCCACTCCATTCTACCACTGGTGATGTTTCCTAGTTGGGTCGTGAGACATCCTAGTTCAGACAGCACCAAGGGCTCCACAGTCCCCCTTCTCTTCTTCCTCCTCTGTGCAAATCCCTTCCCTTCTAGCACTGATGCTATTACCTAGCTGGGTCATGAAATGTCTGCAAGAAAGCAGCCAGCTCAGAGAGCCCCTCCTCCTCCTCTTACATCTTCTTCCTCCTCCTCCTCTCCCCTCCTCCTCCTCTTCCCTCCCCTCCTCTTCCTCCTCTTCTTCTCCTCCTCCTCCTCTCTGCAAACTCCACTCCATTCTGCCACTGATGATATTTCCCAGTTGGGCCGTGAGACATCCTAGTTCAGACAGCACCAAGGGCTCCACAGTCCCCCTTCTCTTCTTCCTCCTCTGTGCAAATCCCTTCCCTTCTAGCACTGATGCTATTACC